TGAACAGTATCATAAACAATTGACTAAAATACCACAACAAAATCAAATATATGAAAGGAAGAATCATATGATGTTGAACATAACTTGAAGTATGCTATCAAGAAAAGTTGTTCCAAAATGTGTTTTAGCTGAAAGCTGTTAATTGAAGCATCCACATATTGAATAGAAGTTCAACATTGACAATGAAGAACATGACACTCGAAGAAGCATGGAATGGAAACAAACTAGTTGTGATTCATTTTAAAGTTTTTTGTTGTATAGCTTTTGCTCATGTCTCTGATGAAAAAAGGAAGAAGCTTGATGATAAAGCAAGTAATTGTATATATTTTTTCTGTTAGTGAGCATTCCAAAGCTTACAAATTGTACAATATAGTCATAAAAAAAATCTTTAATCAAGATGTGAAATTTGATGAAAGCAAGTGGAAGTAGACTATTAATAGCACTGGAGAGAAAATTCCAATAAGTGATGCTGAATTTGAAGAAGAAAAACATAGTCAACCTTCAAGTCCTATTATCACAAGTACAAGAGAAAGATGATGTTTCAAATTATCCTAAACTTTAATGTGCAAGAAGAAGGCTAGCATGGATGCAAGATTATGAGATTAGTGGAGTTAATTAAATTGATGATTCCCTTACTCATTTTGCATTGCATTCAAACCATGATCCTAATGCTTTTTATGATGCCATCAAAGAATTAAAGTGACAAAAGGCTATGGATGAGGAAATTAAAGCAAGAGAGAAAACTAATACTTGAGAATTAACATATCTTCTCACAGGGTACAAGTTTATTGGAGTTAAATTGGTATATAAGACAAAAGTTAATACAGATGGTAAGGTGGATAAATACAAGGTGCAACTGGTAGTGAAAAGGGCTACAAACAAGAATATGTGATTGATTATAAAGAGAAAAACAAAGCTTGATCTACTTAATTATTTATCTCATTTTACTCTATAAATTCATTAATTACACGTGTTTTAATTACCTACAATGCAATTAATTATGAAATGTTAAGAGTCATCAATTCTAAACATATAAACATAAATTCACTAGGATAAAAACCAATCAATAAGGGAAACTATAACCGTTATTAAATGTAAAAATCACGTAAAGTCTACAAAGAATTCATCATAGTCCTAACTATGGTTTTAGGTACTCATAACAAAATAAACAACGAAAGCAATTGTAAAGAAATCTAAATTCATTCGAAACAAATGCAAATCAGAGGAATTCTAAGAGGAAAGAGATGAGGAAAGTTTGTCTCCAAAAAATGCTCTCGATCACTTATTCTGATTCAGAAAATATATTATATGCATTTACCAATGATTTCCACTCTTTTATAGCTCCATAAGTCCTCAAAAGTTGGCTAGGAAAAAGTCTCCAAGTCAAAAAGTATTCGTAAGGAAAAAATGTCTTCTTCAAGTGTGTGAGGCCTCTTTAAATAAAATAAACTATGACAAAAGATCGTATCAATATTATATATATATATATATATATATATATATATATATATATATATATGTCAATCTTAAAATTTCATATCTAGATTTAAATTCTAAATTTAAAATCTAAATTCAGTTACAGATTCATAAGCACAATCATGCATAATTACCAGCATGATTGTGCATGGTCACAAAGCATTTCCAAATTAGTTGTGAAGCAAGGTTGTGCTTCCTATTGAGCGTGACCATAGTTTCTATCAAATTTCAGCTAATCACGATAAAAAGGCATCAATATTGCTTGGCCCAATCCTATGAATTCTCTTCATATACTAAACTGTAACAAATAACAAATAAATTAGTGCAAAATTCTTGTCAAATAAAGGCCAAACTACAAATAAGTTATAAAAACATCTCAAAATATGAACTAATCAACAAGTATACACATTTCACCAAACTTGCAAATAAAGAGAAAATTCTTATAGTTTGCATATATGTTGATGACTTTATCTTCATAAGTAATGATGAAGTCATAATTGATTCATTTAATGCTTCTATGAATCCTGAATTTAAGATGATAGACTTGGATTTGTTGTGTTATTTTTTTGGCATTGAGGCAGTGCAACGCAGTTTGCACTCCTACTTTTACTTGCTTGAAGTTGAAAAAGGATTTAACTGAGAAGAAAGTAGATGCAACGGTTTATAAGCAAATTGTAAGAAGTTTTATGTATCTAACTTCGAACAAGCCAAATATAATGCATGTTGTTAGCCTTATCAGTTGATATATGGAGAATCCAATAAAATTGCACCTCCTAGCATCTAAAAGAGTGTTCAGGGTACTTAAAACGGACTATTAATTTAGGAGTGTTTTACAATAAAGGAGAACAAAAGGGTTTGATTGGGTTTAGTGACAACGATTATGTTAGGATGAAAACGACAAAAAAAACACATTCGGATATGTCTTTGTGATGGGTTTGGGTATTGTTTCATGATTATCAAAGAAATAACCAACAGTTATTCTATCTTCTACTGAAGCTAAGTTTATTGCATCTATGTCATGAGCTTACCAAGCCATTTGGTTAAGGTTACTTAAAGAGCTTGGGCATGATAAAAAAAAGGCCTTGTATTAGTGTTATGTGACATTGTCACTGCAATTAAGTTGTCAAAAAATTTTGTTTTACATAAAAGGAGCAAACATATACATGTAAGTTCCATTCTTTACGTAAATTTGTGCAAGGATGGTGTTATTGATGTTATCTATTGCATGCAAGAGTGAGGAGCATATTGCAAATATGGTGAAAAAACTCCTCAAGACAGCTATGTTTGAGAAACTTCAAAGCATGATGGGAGTTCGTTCAAAGAAAGGAAACTAACTATGATGATGACAAGTTGGTTGCTGAAGTTACTGAAATTTCCTTTAAAATAAACTGACGTTTTGTAAGACCTTTAGTTTAAGAGAGGAAAATATTAAGAAAATGTCAATATTTTTAGTATTTTGTTTTGAATGAGTCAAGTCCTATTTAATTGGGATTTATTGTTGTAGGCTAGAAGTCATGAGTTAATCTGTTTTATCTTCTCAGTTTAAGCAACAATAGTTACTTTGAACTGCTATATATGTAATTAAAAGTTTTCAATGAATGTTTCAATTTTATTTTATTTTTTTACATATTTTAACATTTATAATGTATCTTTATATTATTTAAATGTGAACGCCAAACATGATCTTTTTCATTATAATGTAATTTCAAGTGTTTAACATGGTTTAAACAACTTTTTAAAATATTGTGAATAGATTAATAATTTTTTTATACATCAGTTATGACCTAATTCAAATTCATTTGATCCATTCATTTGCTATCCCAAGTTAAAATGGTCTAAATTTTTCTCTAGAAATAGATTCTCCCTAGTTAAAATGGAAGAAAAGGATTTAAAAGGTAATAGAAAAAGAAAGAGGTTTAATATAAAACTCTTCAAGTTAGGGAATTTAAAAATATGAAACTAAAAAGGTTTCGATCTCTTATCTAAAAACTTCTAAATAAGGATATTCATCACATAAATTTTCTCTTTCTCTCCTCCTCTCCTCAAAAATCAACTTTCAAACAAAGCTTAAAAAAAACAAACAACCACAAAAAGTACTCATCTAAAAATTTCAAACAAAAATATTCATCACATAAATATTTCCCTTTTTTCTTTTTTTCTAAAAACCAATTCCTAAACAAAATTTAAAAAAAACAAACAACCATAATAAATAAATTGGGAAATACGAAACAAAAGTATTGTTTTTCAATATACTAAACCCATCACATTGACACAATATATGACAATATATGAATCTAATATGGTAATATTAGACACAATATGTGACATAAAACTCGAGAGAGAATATTAATGATAGAAATACGAGATCTGAAAAGCAAATATTAAAAAGTAGGCCATGTGAATCACAATACAATTACCTTAAGTTATAGTTTGTTATAGATTTTTTTATTTTATAGATTTACATTTTATAAATTATTATTAATCAACTTTTATATTATAAACAAGAGTTTATTATTTAAGAATTAAAGTAGTTAGTGAAGTCATAATTTTATTTTTACCTACTTTTTTTATTGATTTTGTTTTAAATTTTGAATTTCAAAATTATTATTTTACTTTATCTTATTACCTTATATAAACTTTCAAATTTTCTATAAATACTTACATTTGTAAAAATAATTTATTATCTTATATAAGCTTTAAATTTCTCATAAATACTTATGTTTATAAAATTCATAATCTTTTATCTATTATTTGAAGTAATTTTCATCAAAATTTTCAACAATTATATATCTTTAATTTTTTTTAAAAAAATTTATTTACGAAAAATTACATATTTCATCACTTCTATTCTTTTTTTTTCTTAATTCTCAAATACTATTTTTTATTGTCATTTTTTTAGTTCTCAAATATTGTGTTATATATATATATATTATAATTAATATAATATTTATTAATATATTATATTTAATTATTTTTTATAGTCATACAAAATTCTTAACTTTTATGTTATTTAATATTTATAATATATAACGTTTTTTGATATTTATAAAATTATGTTATTAAATTACTAAATTTTATTTATTTATTTAAAATAAAATACTTTTGCAATACTCGGATAAATAAACTAGTTAACTTGAGAGTAGTTTTTTTTTTTTTTTTAGAATCATTAAAATTCAATAGTAATTATTGGATATTCTTTATATATAAGGTTTTTTAAAGATTGTTTATCCTACAAAATTTTGACCTTTTTTATCAAAAAACTTTGGCTTTATTTTATTTTTTCTTTCTCTTTATTTCCATGTTCTTTGGATAGACTTAATTTATTATAAAAATTGAAAATTCCATGTTAACAGAAGAAATTAACACTAATAAATTATTAAACTCTTTCAAAAAACTATATTCTTTTTCAATATTGCCTATAATATGGTTAATGATAGAATTTAAGCAATTTTTAATTTTAAAATACTCCTTTTGACAGTGAAAAGCATTATACGTATTATCTATTAAAAGTAAAATTTGAAATGCTTAATTAAAAAACTTATACTAAATTTAACAGTTCAAAAAGTTTAAAAGATTAAAAATAAAACTGACAATTTATATTATAATAAGCCCTTCAAATAATTTCGCCTAATGCCCTGAAATTTCTAAACACAGCCCTGTAAATAAGCGATTGTATTTGAAAAGACAAACAAGTTATTTTGCACCTATAGATTCGATTTTATTTACAGAGATTGAACGTTGCCTTCCTTGGAAGCTTTCTTCAGCACCAGATTTCCAGCCTACGCATGAACAAGAATCCATTCAACCTCATAGACTGCTCTACAAACTGTCAATCAACTTAGCATTGTTGGATGCCCCGTCTGGAGCATTCTCTTGATCATGTCCATCCCAAATGCCGAATCTGACGAACTGGTCAATCACAGCACAGGGTTAACTCGAGAGCTTCAGCGAAATATTCAAAAAGGGAAATAACTACTATAACTCATCATGCAATGATCCCAAGGGTAGTAATCTTCAGTTTCCCCCAATACAGATTCTCAAAACATGTGCTTCATGAAACAATAGTTGTTCATGATTGCTAAAAAATGCCAAGCTAAATATTAGAGGAACAAGAAAAATATACACTGAAATAACATGTTACATTTTGATGATAACTCGGTTCTTTAACGTGTCTTCAAGATCACTAAATAGGGCAGATATCATACAATTGTTCTGCAAAGTGATCACTAAACAATTGTATGATATCTGCCCTATTTAGTGATCTTTGTGATACATTAAAAATTTTAAAACAACAAATGTTCTACAGAACGTGCAAGCATCTGGCTTGTATTTGTTGAATTGGTAATATATCCTACCAGACTACATCTTTATTTACAAGTGATTCACCACAAAAGAATGAGAAAAACAAGGATAGTAAAAGGGGTGGGGGCATTCTGATCACTGTGTATCATCCAAAAAGTCCACTTCCAAATTTATTGTGGTTCACATTAAAGTAACACAATAAAGACATTGTACTCACATTACATTACTAAAACCAATAGAAAATCTATCAAAGTAAAATTCTTATAGCACATTGTAATCAGAACAAAGCAGTTCCTAATTTTGAATTAACTAGAAAGCAAGTAAAATTTGATATCCTCTAAATTTGGTTTCTGTCAATTCAAAGTCTTCAAGTATTTCAACTAAGCTAGGCCCCAGCTATTCAAGGTTTCTGTCCCCACATGATTAGGAGCCAAAATAACAAAAGTAACAGCTAAGCCTTATCTCATCACATGGTCTATATGGATTATTTCATTCATTTGACACTAATGTGATCCAGGAAAAACCTATTTTGAAGTAAAAGAGTAAAACCATCTAGAACATAGTCTTTTCAAATAGCTCTCTCTCACACTCTATGAGGAGGGAGGAGTGGAGTTCTTTTCCCAATTCCTACATATTCTGATATCATTGAGCTACTAACATGACCAAACCATCATAGGTACTTTTACTCAATAAGTGCTACTATAATTTTCTCTCATATACATTTGTTCCTAAACAGATATTTTCTTGTAAGTTCACTAATGCACCTTGACATTCTGCATTCCCATTTTCACATCACTTTTTTTTATTTTTTGGCACTTGACTGACCAATTTAAACTACCACCAGTGCATTCTCATATCAATTCTCCTTTCAATTTGATAGGTAATTCATGATCACAAGCATTTTGTCCACCAAATTTGAATCTGTTGTACGATCTCCCCTATGATGGATCTAAGATGCCTAGATTGTACAATTTGTGGTATGGCGTTAATATCAAATTTCACCTCTAAAACATTGGTTCTTTGCATCTTATATATGTGCATTCCATTATATTACATGTCCTCAAACTTACCTACTTAACCAAAAACCTGTGGAGTTCAAAAGCTCTAAGATATTCTAAAAGTCCTAATTGCAAAAAGAAGGAAAACAAAAAACTTCAAAGAGATTACATTACCAACACAATCAAGTCAAGTGGAACACCCTATTCAAAATCAAAAGTATCAAAATGTTGAAGAAATATATGAAAGGCAAAATCACAAATGATATGGTCAGACAGAGCAATCACAGCTCACCTAGGTATTGTAATCTCGTAGGGAAATGAAACTGCACCCTCGAGATTTGGTATTGGTGGAACGTGATCTTTCTTCTCGTTAACAAATTTAATTATTTGAAATAAAACCTCGCGAAGCGATGCCTCAAGTGCTGCACTTCGAGCATTTCTATCCTCCAATGCTCCCTCTACTCATAAGAATTATAGAAAATCCATCAAAGAACCCCGACCCCCACAAAAAAAATAAATTAGAGTGAAGCTGTTAAGAAACTAAATTCACAATAAGGAACAAAACACAAAACGAGATTTAATTTGAGAACAGAGCAAGCAACTGCACCTCCAGGATCAACAACTTTGGAATGATGAGACTTGCTAGAATGTGCCTTCGGATGCTGAGCCACATTCAGATTAATATACCACTGCTCCCAATACAAGCGTTCAATCTTGTTACTGAACCAAGACGCCTGTTTGTTTTTTACCTCATAGAAAGATAAACATATCTGCATCCCAGTCACAACCCCATAAAAAAATACTAGTAACAATAAAACAAACTTCAAAGGCCAGATCAGAGCCCTTATAACACATTAACTTCAATAGCATCCCATTATTTGCAAAACGGATTATATCATATATGACACCCGACCTCATGTTGCAACACATTGTAAGCAAAGGAAAATTGCTTTTAACCACAAAATAAAAACAAAAATAGCAACATTCTAAAAGTGAGTTAAATCACTGACCTGACTCTTCTTGTTTGGATGCTTCTCCACCCAACAAACAAATTGCTCAATCTTCTCATCTATTTTCTTTTCAAGCTCAACCTCTCCACATTGTACCTATAAACCAAGAGTCACAAAACCACACAACAATGTTACAGAGTATATTTTAATATAAGACGCGGTTAAATGGCGTTTCTGAAAGAGTAACGCACGGGTGAGGATAGCAATAAATTGAGATAATTCAAAACAATCGTACATAAGTGATGTCAAAAAGTTCCAAGTCGACATCTTTGGGGCGCACGAGACCCAAGGCGCGGTGAAAGACGACCGTGTGCAATATGCCTGCAACACCGTTACTTCAGTTATCGCAATTCAACACGAAAGCACAAAACGCAGTGACAAATTATTATATTGTGCAGCGAAAAGCAAGTAACGATTGGAGTTGCGGAATTACATCGCAGAACCTCGCGTATCTCGAAGTGTTCCACTTCCTGCATGGAGTAACCGACAAAGCGTATTAAAAAAAAGAAATAGAATATGGAGAGAGAAGAGTGGATTAACGCTTACAAGTTCCTTGAGCTGGCAAACTTCACAGTTCATGATCGGATGAAACCCTAGCAAGCTTGTTTGGAAAGGAAGAGGAGAAGCGAGCGCGTGGATCGAAGAATATGGAGGGTCGCGTAGGCGTGTGTTTGTGGAGTATTTTCTGATTCGATTCTAACTTCTTTTTTCTCTTCTCGTCTTCTAACATTCAGAGTCTGAGAGAGAGGGAGGAAGATGCAGTATTAATTAGATACTTTACTTTGGCGTGGAGTACTGAGTTAAATAATCATTAAACAAATGTAAAAATTTAATCAAAAGAAAATCATATCCACTGTAGATTAAAGCTCATAAAATGGGCTACTGGTCCCATTGTAAATAAGTTTTATGGGATTTAATTTAATTTGAAATTGTAAAATTGATGTTTAGGAGATTTCTTTTTCACCTCATTTTTTTTTATATTTTATTAATTTATTTTTGTATGTAACTTTTTTTTAATAATTATAATTATTATTCTTTTAGTTTCGTTTCAAATTTTAGAATATTTTTTCTTCTCTTTTAGACCTTCCCTCTTTATTTTTATCACTATTTGATTTTTGTTTTTCAATACTTCATGCTCCATTGTTCGTTGCTATTATTTTTAGAGCGTATTTTAAGTAAATTACTCTCTAGATACTTTCATTATTTTGAACATACTGTAAAAAATAAATTTATCATAAAAAATAATATTTTTATTAGTTTTTGTCAACTTATTACTCTTTTAAAAATAAGTATCTAAAATTAAGATTTTACATTTCTAAAAATTAATTTTTTTAAAATTCTTTACGATTTTTAAAAATAGTTTAGAAATTAGGATTCAACACTTGTAGAAATTAATTTTTAATTTTAAGTTTTTACATTTTCAAAAATTAATTTCTAGGATTAAATTTCTATGCTATTGGAAATTAATTTCTGAGAAATTATTAACTATTTCCAAAAATAAAATTTCAACATTAGAATTCTACATTTTTAAAAATTAATTCCATATTAAGTTTTTATACTTACATAAATTAATTTACAGAATTCTTAATCATTTCCAAAAGTAAGTTTTGAAAATTAAGATTCTACAATTTAATAAATTAATTTTTGAAATTTAATTTTCATTTTCAAAAATTAATTTGTAGAATTATTAACTATTTTCAAAATTCGGTTTTCAAAATTAGAATTCTACAATATTGTAAATAAATTTCTAGATTTAAGATTTTACACTTTTAAAAAATAATTTCTAAAATTATTAATCATTTTAAAAATAAATTTTTGAAATTAAAATTTTACATAAAAGATATTTTAAAGAAACAAGTTACAAAAATTTTTAGAAGAGGTGTGAAAAGAAAGAAAGAAAAAAGTGTAAAAAGCAACTTCCTAAAGCTAACATTCAAAATTAACAAATTTTGGTATTTTTTGTAAACTTAAGCCATATCAAACTTAATCAAATCATGTTAAAAAGACTTAAATTTAATTCAAGTTCAATTGAAATTCAAGTTTTACATTTTAGATAAAATTAGTGTTTTTGTTTTCTAATTTTAAGTTAAATTTTAATTTCATTTTCTAATCTTTTTTAAGGCTCTTTTTAATCCTTTAAATTATAAATATGTTTAAAACACTAACCCCATTAAAAGTTTTTTGTTGTTTTCTGTCATATGTATTATGGGATGTAGGCACTATTCATTATCTTCCTTAAATTTTTTATCCGTGTCCTCTTCATCTTTCTCCTTCCCTTCTTCATTATAAGAATATTCAAATCCTCCATTTCCTAACATTTTTGCAGTTGTCCCTTTCAAATTTGCAATCCAAACACACCCTTCTTACCATTCACCATTACAGCATCTCCAGCACGCTTACCATAACTAAATCCGCCCTTTTTGCTTAATGATGTCTTTCTAGTTGATTATCTATATCTCTTTTCATTGGTACAACAAGTACTTCAACCTTCACTGCACTAATTATATCAAAATGCCCATCCTTCTTTCTCCTTAATCTCACAACTAAAAGGACAATAAGTGAGACAATCACTATACTAGCCACCACAAAGACAACAATCTCCAGCAAGCTACTCCTATCTCGCCCAGATACGTTGCCAATTGCATTACTTTGTGCATCAATAAGTTTTCACATTTTACCAAGCATGTCACTACAAAGACTAGAATTTCCAACAAAAGAACTATCATTGAATTTCAACAAATTACCTGGTACTTCACCATCTAGATTGTTGGACAAATTGAGTTGCACCACTAATGGTTATTAAATTAAGAATACTTCCACTAAACTAGTTATTCTCAAGATGCAACACTATAAGCTAAAGAATCTTAGTTAATGACGATGGAATATGACTTATAAATTGGTTATCAAAAAGCCACAACTTCTTTAGAGACCTCATTCCCTTGAAGTAATCTTGAGTAATATCCCCAAAAAACTTGTGTTCAGACAAATATATAGTTTTTAAGAAACTTAACCTATGTGAGGTTTGAAGAGGAAGAAGAAAAAAAAAAAAGGAGAAGAGGAAAATGAAAGAGAAGAGAAAAAGGAAGAGGCAGAATAAACACATTAAAAATTTAAGGAAGACAATGACTAGTATCTTACGTAAGATAGGGAACAAAAATGATTAAAAAATTTAATAAAGTTAGTATTTTTTTTTTAAAAAAGTGATCTATTTAAAATATTTTTATAAGTTAAAGAACGAAAATAAATAAATAAAGTTAAAAAATAAAATTAAACTTATTTTAAAATTAGATGATAAAAATATTAAGTTTGTCTATATTTTATCAATAAATTTAAGTTAACTCATTTTGTTAGCTCTACTCTAGATATGATTTATTTAATATGATAGGATAAAAGAGGGTAAGATATAAGTATTGAATAAAAATAAAATATGATAAAAGAATAATAAATTATTGTCTTATTATATGTTTGATATACATAATGTCATTCTTTTTAATGATTGAGATTAATAAAAATAAATAAATAAATAAATATATATATATATATATTATATTTAAATGAAAAAAATATTTTTTTATCAAAATTAATCTCATTTTGTCAACTATAAATTTTTAATTTTTAATATATATATATATATATATATAATTATTGTTGATGAGCATATAAAATTTGAAATTAAATTATAATAATTTTATTTATTTTTTTATGATTAAAATTTATTTTTAGGTAAGAAATTATAATAATATTTCTTTTATAAAAAACATTTAAGAATATATTTTATAAAATGATTTTCAAAATATACCTTTCTGTAAAAAAAAGATAATTTTTCAAAAATATATAATTTTATGAACAATTATTAGAAAAATTATTTTTACATTATTATTAACAAAATATTTTTTTATATAATTATTACAAAACAATTTTAATTAATATTGTAATTCATATTGAATTACAGTGTAAAAAATCTGAATGATTGTGAATGAAATACTGGCATGCGTGTCTGGGAAAGGAGGAAGAGAAGCAAGTGCGTGACTGCTTTCTCTTCTCGTTTTCACAACCAGACCGTACGAGCTGTGACCAGGAAGATGTTGTATTAACTAAATTAAATAAATTTCGAAATTTAACTAAAAAAGGATCATATCCACTCTTGAAAGTAATTTTGTTATATGGAGCAAAAGTTATCTCTGTCACTTATACTTTTAAAATTAAATTAAATTAAATACAATCTTGAAGCTAAGATAAGGCATGTTTAAACATCAAGTTTTGTTTTTTTTAATTATTATTATTATTATTATTCACCATATTTTAATTTCTTTCATATTTATTATTATTGTGATTAATTAACTATCATATTTTTATGTAAATATAATTCGGTAGAATTTTGTGATCCATCAACATTTATTTATATTTTTACATGAAAAGTCTAATTAATCAAAATTTCTTGTTATTAATTTCTCTTTTTAATTGATTTCAATATTATAAAAGAGTATTTAGTTTTTAAAATAAAATATTTAATATTACTACTGCCTTTTATAGTCAATCACGTGTATTTTTTATAATTAAAATTAGTTTAGAATTGTGTAAATTTTATTTATTTTTAATTAAAATTACTTTTTTTTAGTTAATTTTATTTTAAATTTTAGAGATTAAAGTTATTAGTTCACTTTCATTTATTATTTTGTATAATTTTTAGATATTATATAAACACTTATTATATTTATGTTTATAAAATTTATAATACTTAATATATTATTTGTAATACTTTGAGTAAAAATTCTCGCTGATTATATATATTTAGTTTTGTGCAAAAGAATATATTCTCTGCTAGAATTGTAAAGGTTATCACTTCCATTTTTTTCTCAAAATTTGCACTATTCTTAAATATTATTTCTTATAATTCTACCTTTTTTGGGATAATTACAAGAATTTGGTTTTAACATTAGTATTCTTTTATTCTTTTTTTATCTATTATAGTATTATATATTATGCCTATACTTTTTTATATTTTTATTTTTTTACACATTTAATATTTTTTTAAATATATTTTATTTTTTTCTTCCAAATTCGATTCAGGTTGCGCATTTTAATCTTTATTGTTGTGCTATATTTGATTAGTTTTATAATTGTGCAAAATTCTCAATTTCTACTTCTTTCAATCATTATAATATTATGATATTTTAGATGTATAATTTTACAAATTTTTTTTTCTAATTTTATCAATGAATTTTTTTTCATGTTATTTCTTATTTTGAGATAAGTATACGTTATTAATGATTTTATAATATTTTATTTTATAAATTTTAAAAGTTATTTTAAAGATGCAAACAAGCTCACAAGTATAGCTTTAAGTATGTGATCTTATTTTTTAAAATTTAGATTGTGTTTGGATAAGGTAATTAAAAATTTAACAAAATTTTAAATTACATTATTTAAATTTCTATTATTTTAAAATATTTTACTTGGATAGAGTAATTGAATTTCTTTCTTTTCAAATTTTTTTGTTTAAATAGAGTAATTTAATTATTTAAATTCTTAAAAAAATTATCCCTACATTTGAAAAAAATAATTAAAAATATGAAATTTAAATTATTAAATTAACCATAATTAAATAAAAATATGAATAGAATACACAATAAATGAAAAAAGTTAATTTTAAATTCTCTCTTGTTAGAATTAGAAATATTTGATTTTAGTCTATTAAAAATTTTCACTAAAATTTTGAGAATTTAAAATTTTAAAATT